GGCTACTCGCCGGGGTGGCTCGCCCCCTCGCCCACCCATGACAGCCAGCACCGCACCCCGCGGGGGCAAGGAGGGGCGACCAGATGCCCAGAGACACACTCCAGGCCTGCACAGAGCCCTGGGCGAGTGTCCAAGGTCTGTTCCACATGGAGACGGCGATGGCTGGACCATCACGTTACTGCCCAGGGGTGCCAGGGCTCACCAGCACAGCCCCGTGCCGGGAGCAGGATAAACCGCGGCTGGGCTGGAGCACGGGGTGAGGGCAGAGCCCAGCGCCGGCACCTGCCGGACATGTGCCGTGATTTCAGGGCTGTGCCCGAGGGGCTTCACCCGCAGCATGGGCACCCGCGGGGTCACCATGAGGGCAACCAGCCCAGACAACTGCCGTGTGGCACTTGCCGCGTGGCACTTCCCATGCAGCCACGTGCTCCAGCCACGGCCCCACACCGGCACAGTCTGTCCCTGCCCCGAGACGGCGCATGACACACGGACCCAGCCCCCACGGCCTCCTCCCCTCTGCTGCCACACGCTACGGGTGGCAAAGCCAGAGGGGCTGTTGCCAACACTGCTCTGCCCTGACTGCCACCGGCTGTGAGACGTTCCCACCTCAGCTGTGCCAGCGCATCCCCCTCTGGGGTGAAGGATCTCCCCAGGCACGGCACGGGCACCGGCACGGCCAGCTCGCCGCGGTGCAGTGGCTGGGGGGCGGGAGGGCCGCGCGGCACCTCCAGCCGCCCGCCCTTTTGGCTCAGCGGCAGGTCCCATCCCTGCCCTGCCCTCACAAGGCTCTGACACCCCATGGGACACTCTGCATCCCCCACCCAGGCTGGCTCTGGGTGCAAGGGGAACCCAAACTGCTCCACTGGCAGCAAAACCCACACCGACAGACATCGTCCCACTGCCACTGCCCCGTGTCTCCTCCCCACACACGGGGAGCTGAGTGGCTCCATCCAGAGCAGGGCACAGACACCCCTTTTATCCTGCTGAGCACCCTCCTAGCAGGAAACCAGCCCCAGGGACTCTTCAGAGGCACATTTCACTCCAAGCAGCCGAACCCTCCTCCTCCTCCCCAGCTCTTTGGGCAGGGGAAGGCACAGAGCGTATCCATGGTGCTCACCCATGCCTGGCCGCTCGCCCATCTCCCCAGGCTGCTTACACCCAGGTCTCTGGGTTTTCCCTTCGCTTCAGACCCCTTCCCCAAACTGCCAGGGGCAAGCAGGGCTGGGCTTTGGGCTGTCGGAGAGGAGGGAAAGGTGCCACCCACCTCCACCCTGCACTATGAGCCGCAGCAGGCTCCCATCCCACCTTGTGGCACCCGGTCCTGAGAGAACGACCCCCCCATTCCAGTGAGCAGGGGGTCTCTCCTTGGGAGTGGGGACATAGGGCTGGACCCCAAACCAGAGGCTGCATCCCCCGTGCCAGTGGGGAAAACCAGAGCCATGCTCCCTGCAGCACCCAGCGAGAGCCCTGCTCCAGGAGGGAGGGGGCAGGCAGAGTGGCCCCCCCAGCC